TTAGCAATTGTTTGAAGAGGTCAAAGTTTGAAGAGGTCAGAGAGTTAATGCAGCTAGTATGACCATGCAGCCATGACCTTGATATGGGGCTGCTATCATAAATTAGATGTCTATACTTCACACTGTGAGTCAGTTTGGTCAATTCAGTCCAGGAAATTTGTTTCATCAGTTTCATTTTGCACAACTCTACTGCTTTTTTAAACAATCACTGCTGCTTCATAAGCATCACATGTTTTCAAAGCCAGAAACTTTCATTTCCACAATTGTAGACTTGGTGACAGAAGGAAGCCCTTTAAAGTGAACTGTAAATGAATGATTTCACAAAGGAAGTTGTTTTTCTTGTCTTAGTTAAAATAACTGGGCACATACTCTTCCGAGACTCACTTTACCACAAAGACTAAACCCCAATGCCAGGAGTTCCCACCGATAGCTGTCAGTACTACTGACAGTGAGTAAATTGATAAAATATGTGATTAAAAAGGTTCCATGATCAGCCCAATTATTCACTAAATTCTCATTCTCTTATTTTCAGTCAGGGAATCATTCTTTTTAATCAAAATTTATAAACCCAGGGCCAGAAATGTAAGAGAAACCAACTTGGACACTCAGGAAAAATACCTGCTTTCAAATGTTTCGTGTTGCTATTACCATGGTATAGCTTCCTGGTCTCAGGCTGGCTGGGACTCATTATACACTCCCTGAATGCAGGACAAAAATTATCAAGAAATTTCTCATAATTTCGTGAGTGAGACTTAATGGATATATGAGGAGCTTTTGCAAAGTATTATCATAGAATCAGAGACGGGGTCAGAGTTGGTAGCTCAGAGCTTTGTGCAGTTGGGTGTTGAAAACCTCTAATGACAGTGACTGGACAACCTCCTTAGGTAACTTGCTCCACTGCTCGGCTGTCCTCATGGGGAAAAGTTCTTTTGTTTTGTTCTCTCTTTCATCCAGTTTGAATCTGTCTTGTTTCACTTTATGTCCACTGTCTTTTGTCCTACTATGCACTGCTGCAAGAATCTTGGCTCTATCTTCTCAGTAAACTCCTCATAGCTAGGGGCAGGCTGCTATTTACGTTACCTCAAAGCCACCACATGTCTGGGCTGAAATAGCCCAGTTCCTCAGCCCCATCTCATATGGCAAGACTAAAAAGTGCTGGGCAGATCTGCTCAATCTGCTGCCCGTGACACTCCTGGTACAGCTCAGGATGCTGCTGGCCTTCCTATGGCTGGTGCCAAGGTTGCTGCTCACCACCACCCTGAGGTCCTCCTCACTAGTGCTGCTCCCTGGCTAAGCAGCACACAGCTGGCATTGAAGTGAGGGGTTAGTCCAAGTGGAGCACGTCACATTTGTCCTTTCTGAATTTCACACGTTTTCTGTCACCACATTCCTCCAGCCTGCAGCTGGCAGCCTTGTCCTTGTGACTGTAGTGACTGGTTCTCCTGGGGCAGTGTCACCTGCACACCTTATGACAATATGCTCCATCACTTCCCTGAGGTCACTGATAAAGGAGTAAACCAGGGGAGGTCCCAGTATAGTAGAGCTCTGCACTACTGCAGTTGTTACCAGTCTCCAGGTGAAGTAGAACCCATCAACTGCTACCTTCTGACATTTATCGTCTGATTTTGACTGCCCATCCAGACAGTAACATCCGAACTTGGATACAAGTACATTTTGGGACACAGTCTTGAAAATCTTCCTAAATTGCAGTAAAGTAACCCCTCTCCCCTCATTCGCAAGTCCAGCCATTTTATCACAGAAGGAAATCAGGTTGGTCAAGTAAAATCAGTCTTAAAGTGGCAGAATCTGGCCATGACTGGAGGTGGGGAGAGGGGATGTGGGGAACTGACACTTTAAAATGCTTAGAAAGTTACTTACTTTTAATTCCTTCAGATCATCTTCAATAGTTTTCCCTAGGTTTTGATAGTAAAATGGCTTATATTTTTTACTAATTTCTGCAAAAAGAGAAGAACTAAGTGAAAATGGTTTTCAATGGAAAATAAAAGTGATTTATACTGTTAACAATTTTGATGGATAAAAATTGAGTAAAGACTTTTATGACGTCAGAAACAGGAAAGTTATACATACATTTGGAGTCTGTTCACATGACTCAGTTAGCCTTAATACAGTAACAGGAATAAGATGATTTATAGGGATTTTTTTTGTTGTCGTATTGCTTTTTAGGGTGAAAGCTCTCTCTATGTGATCTGTGGCTGACAGCATCCTTCCTTGACTTGACTGGCCCAAAGATTGATGGGCACATTTTAAGAAATAAGATACAATTAATTGCATTCAACTATCCTGTCTCTGCTAAAGATGGAATTACTGAAATAAATTACTAACATGCTAAGTATCAGTATTTTGCATTATGGGAAAATTAGAAGCTAAGACCCAGAGTAAAAATAAACTCCATCAATTAGCAGTAGATTATGCAGGTTAAATATGAAAAATATGATGGGTTCCTCCTGGTATACAAATTTCCTCTGAGTATATAAGTATGCCCCTGTTGAATATGAAGCTCTTGGTGCCCCTGTCTAAATCCAAACCTCCATTTCCTGTTATGTGCAGGAGTTTTTTCGTGTGATGGTTTTGGGTTGGTTGGTTTGGTTTTTTTTTTCCCTTCTTGTTCTTTTTGAGGTTGGGATTTTTGTTGGCTTTTGGGTTGTTGGTTTTTTTTTGGCAGGATATGTTGAGGCAGAAAGAAGATACAAGAGGAGATAAAGAATTTTTACTTTTTTGCTGAATGCTCTTAATCTCTTTCCCACACCATTCAGTCAAGACTTTCACTGACTGCAAGTGTTTTGGGATCTGACAATATGAAAAGGTGATGAGCTCATGAAAGGCTGTTGAATTGCTCATGGAAGGCTAAACTGGGACAGTTTTTGAAGCTAGTTCCAATGGGGTATTTTCTCAGTCATACCCAAGATCTACTATATTTCTTGATGTTAGCTTTTCT